AAATAATAGAAAAGCGTTTATTACAACAATTAATTGATTATTTATTAATAAATAAATTAATTTTAAAAAATAATACTACTTTTTTTAATTTTAGTAAAATTTTTAAAGGTAAATATAGTATAATAAAATATAATTTATCAGGAAAAAGAGTAGATTTTTCAGGAAGATCTGTTATAACTGTAAATCCTAATATTATATATAATAATATAGGATTACCTTATTATATAAGTATAAATTTATTTAAACCTTTTTTAATAAATATTTTAAAATATAATTTTAAATTTAATGTTATATTTAAAAGTTTATTAATTAATAAAAATTTATTTAGTATTCAAAAATTTTTAAATAAATTATTACAAAATCAATTTGTAATAGTTAATAGAGCTCCTACATTACATAGAATGAATTTACAATCTTTTATACCTTTATTAACAGAAGGATATTCATTAAAATTTTATCCTTTAGGATGTTCAAGTTTTAATGCAGATTTTGACGGAGATCAAATGTCAATATTTTTACCTTTAATTAAAACTTCAAAATTTGAATCTAATATAAATCTAAATTTTGATAAGAATATTATATCACCTTCAAATAATTTAAATTTATTTAAAAATTTACAATATTATAAATTAGGAATTAATACATTATTAATTTTAAATTATAGTAAAGTATTAAATATTTTTTATTTTAATTCTATTGAAAAAATATATGAATATTATAATAATAATATATTATTTATATTTAATTTAGTTTGGATAAAATATATAAATAATAATGAAGTTTTTTATATATTAACTTCAGTTAATAGAGTAATTATAAATTTATATATGTATATATATTAAATTTTAAATATGTATTTTTATTTTTTTAATAAATATAATTTAAAAATTTTAGAAAAAAAATTATTAAATATATTTAAATATAATATAAGTTCTAAAATTTTACATGAATTATTATATTTAGGATGTGAATATAGTTTTATATATAATTATTCTTTAAATTTAAATGATTTTTCAAATTTAATATATTTATTAGTTTTATATAAAAATAAACTTAATAATAATATATATTATAATAAATATTATGAAATAAAATATAATTATATAAATATTTTTTTAAATAATTATTATTATTTAAAAATTATAAATAAAATTCAATTAATATTAAATAATATTATATATTTAAAAATTAATCCTATATCTTCTAATTTATTTTTATTTTTTAATAATAAAATAAAAATTAAATATTCACAATTACAACAATTAATTGGGTATAAAGGGTATATTTCTAATATAAAAGGGGTTATTTATGAAAAACCTATTATAAATAATTATATTAATGAATTATCAATATATGAATATATTTTATCTTGTTATGGTTCAAAAAAAGGTATAATAGATACAGCTTTAAAAACAGCAGATTCAGGATATTTAACAAAGCGTTTAATTAATATAACAAATAATTTTATAATTAAAGAGATAAATTGTAAATCTCCTTTTATTTTTAAATATAGATGTAATATGGATATATATGGTAATATTATATTACCATTTAATATTTTACAATTTAAAATATTACAAAATAATATCATAAATAAATATAAGGGTATATATTTTGATTTAAAAAATATTTATATTACTAAATATATATTAAATAATTTATTAAATTTATTATCTAATATTTATATATATTTAAATATAAAATCAATATATTTATGTAGTATATTTAATAATATATGTAATAATTGTTTAGGTTATAAACAATTATATAAACATAATTTAGGGCAACATATAGGAGTTATATCTAGTGAAGCAATAGGAGAACCTAGTACACAAATGGTATTAAGAACTTTTCATGTAAATTCTATTTTAAAAGATAAATATAATTATAATATTTTAAAACAAAATAATATTTATAAATTGAATTTTTATAAATTTAAAATTAATAAAGTATTTAAATTGATTTTTAATTTTAAAAAATATATAAATAATAAATTTAATTTAATATTTTTAATAAATAAATTATTATTTAAATGTAAATATGTACATTATAATTATATAATAATTAATAGATTTATTAAATATAATTTTATATATAATTCTATTTCTAGAAATTTTAAATATACTTTTAATAGTATATTTATAAAATATTTTAATAATAAAGTAAAATATTATAGTTTAAATATGATACAATTATTAATAAAAAATTTATATAATAAATGGATTATATATAATTTATATACTTATTATTTTTATTATAATTATATTAAATTATATAATATAAATAAAAAGGGTATAATTTATAATTTTAATATTAATAAAAAATTAAATATTATATATTTTATAAAAAGTTTTATTAATTTTTATTCATATTTAAATATAAAAAATGATAATATTATATTAAATTCTAATTTTTTTAAAAAAAAATAAAATATGACTTTTTTAATAGATTTTAATAATATACAAAATACAAATATTTTTATAAATATAATAATATATTATATTATAAAATAAAATTATTTTTATATTTATATGAAATATTAACTTATAATTGGAATAAATATTTATTATTAAATTCTAAATATAATTTATTTATTATATATAATAATTATATTAAATATTTATATAAATATAATATTAAAGTTGTTTTATATTTTTTAAAGAATTTATTTTTTATAAATAATAATTTTATAAATAATAATATTTTATATACTTATAATATTATTTATAATAATCAAAATAATATTTTAAATATATATAAAAAAAATATAATTAAATTATTAAATAATAATTTATATAATAAAATATTTTATATGTATTATAATAAAAATTTATCTAATTTATATTTAAATGATATAACAATAGGATTACAATCTATTAATATTATATTTGAAAATAAAAATATTAAAAATAATATTTCTTTTATTTCAAATAATATATATGTAATTTTTTATATTAAATATTATAATTATTTAAATAATATTATATATATATATAATGTTTTTAATATATATAAAATTAATTATTTTAAATATAAATTAAATTTTTATTCATATATTTTTGAAGATATAAGTTCTATTTTATATAGTGGATATTCATTAAATACAGATTTTTATTTAATTAATAATAATTTGAGATTTTATTTTAGATATTTATTATTTAATATAAATATTTATCAATCAATTAAAAGTTCTTATATTTATATATATAATATTTTAATAGAATCAATTTTAAAACAATATAGTTATCAAAATATTTATTTGCCTTCAATATATTTTGAATTAATTATAAAAAAAATGTTATCATGTATAAAAATAATTTCTAATAATTTTAAAGTATTTAAATATAATAATATTATACCTTTATATTTAATAAATATACTTAATTATTCATTAATTTTAAATAAATATCAAATATATAAATATGAACCTATTATTTTAGGAATTACAAAATCAATTTTAGCAAATTCTGGATTTTTAACAAATATAAGTTTTCAAAATACATTTAAAATTATAAGTTTAAATATTTTAAATAATAAAATAGATTGGTTAATTGATATAAAATCAAAAATAATAATGACGGATTTATTACCAGTAGGTAATGGGTGGTATAGATATTTAAAAATTTAATTAAAAAAAATAATGTTTATTACATTTTACACTTTATTAAGATCAAAAATTTATATTAATAATATTTACGAAACGATTCATTTAAATAATTATAAATTTATATATAAAATTAAACATAATTATTGTATTTTAAATTTTATTTTAATAATTTTATATTTATATAAATTATATTTATATATTTATAATATATCTTTAACAAATAATAAAATTTTATTTATTAATAATAATAATTTATTTATTAATTTTATTATTAAAATGTGTTATTTAACTAATAATTTTTATATAATTAAATGGATTCCTGGATTATTAACAAATTGGATTTTTTTTAAAAAAAAAATTATAATTTATATATGGTTAAATAAATTATTTAAAAATAAATATTATATTAATATATTATCAAAAAAATGTTTATATAAATTAAAATATATTTATAATAAATTATATTTAAATTTACATGGTATAAAAAGTATGTTAATTTTACCAAAATATATTTTTTTAGTAAAATATAATAATTTAATTTTAAAAGAAATTTCTAAATTAAAATTAGTTTTAATAAGTTTTATAAATTTAAGTTTAGATTCAAATTATATAAATATAAAAATTTTAGGTAATTATAATAATTATAAATCTATTAAATTAATATATAAAATAATTTATACATCTATTATTCATAGTAAAATTAAAAATATGTAAATATATGTTTAATTATATATATATTATTATATATAAAAGAAATATATAAAATATTATACCAAAAATTTAGTTGTTTAATTAATAATAAATTATATTTATTAGATATTATATATAATAATTTTATATTATTATATTTATAAAATATAATATTATATAAATATTTATTTGAATTTTTACTTTTTAATAATAAATTAAATTTATTTATATAAATAAATTTTTTAATATTATTTATTTTTATATTTTTAAATTTTTTTAATAAAATATTTTTTTTTAATTTATAATATAAATTAAATATCATTTTTTTTATAATTATATATTATATAAAGAGAAAATGGGATTCGAACCCATGAAATATATTATATTTTTTTGATCTCAAATCAAATACAATAAACCACTCTGTCATTTCCCTTAATTTTTTATTTTATATTATATAATAAAAGTTTTAATAAATTTTTAGTTAATATATAATTATATTTTAAATATTTTAATAATTTATAATATATACAAGAAATTATATTTAATTTAGAATTATAAATACCTAATTTTAAAATTTTAAATTTATTATTTTTTATTATATATAAATAAATTTTATATGTTTTATATAAAGTTTTATTTGATTTTGAATATAAAAAAATTATTTTTTTCATTATAATTTTAATAAATAATACTATATATATTATACAAATAATGGAATTTGAATCCATATCTTTAATATGGAAAATTAATATTTTACCTATTTAAACTATATTTGTTATTTATAATGAAAATATATTAAAATTTAAATTATAATATTTATTTAAAAAATAATATAAAATATATTTATTTTTTATAAAATAATTTTTATCATAAGTTAATAATAAATCACTTATTGATTTATTTAAAATTAATTCTAATATTCTTTTTAATGGACGAGCTCCATATAAAGGATTATAAGTTAATTTAATTAAAAAGTATTTTAATTCATTTTTAATATAAATTGTAATATTTAATTTATTTAAATATAATTTAATTTTTAATTCATTTATAAATTTATTAAATATTAATAATAAAGAATTAATATTTAAAGGATTAAATATTAATATATTTGTTAATCTATTTAATAATTCAGGTTTAAAATAATTATTAATACTTAATTTAATATTTTTTTGTATATCTTTTAAATCTATATTAGATAAATAATATTTATTTTTTAAATATATATCATAATTTTTAGGACAACCTAAATTACTTGTTAATAAAATAATTGTATTAGTAAAATCTATTAATTTACCTGTTGTATCAGTTAATCTACCTTCATCTAATATTTGTAACATTATATTATATATATCAGGATGAGCTTTTTCTATTTCATCAAATAATATTATAGAATTAGGATTATTATAAACTTGTTCTGTTAATTGACCTCCTTCTGAATATCCTATATAACCAGGAGGTGAACCAATTAATCTAGATATTGAATGTTTTTCCATATATTCACTCATATCAAATCTAATTAATTCTTTTTCAGAACCAAATAAATATTTTGCTAATATTTTAGCAAATTCAGTTTTACCAGTACCACTAGGACCACATAAAATCCAACTACCTATAGGTTTATTTTTAGTTTTTAATCCTATTATATTTTGTTTAATTAAAGGTAAAATTTTATTAAATATATGATTTTGACCATGTATATTTTTATATAAATAATATTCTAATTGTTTTATATTATATTTTGTAATTTTATTATTTTTAAATAATATAGTTTTAGAAGTATTTAAATATTCTGAAATTGTATTTCTTATATCTTCATATGTTAAAATAAAATTTTTTTTATTTTGTAAAGATATGTTATTAGTTGATAAATAATTAAAATTAGAATATTGTACTTTATTTTTTAATAAATATTTTTTAGAACATAAATTTTCTAATAAAATAAATGGTATTATAGGAGAATTTATATTTTTAATATATTTTTTACTTAAATTAATTAATTCATATATAATATAATTATTTATATGTATTTTATAATAATTTATGTATTTATATATATTATATTTTAAAATTAAAAATATTTGTAAAAAAGATAAATTTTTTATTTGAATTTTATAAAAAAAATAATCTTTTAATAAATTATTAGATTGAAAATATAATTTATATTTATCTTTAGTTGTAATTATAAATATATGAATATTATAATTATATATTTTAGATAATAATAAATATAAATAATATAATTTATTTAAATTATCTATATTATTATCATTATTTGTTATATTAAATATTTCAATATTTTTAATAATTAAAATTAATTTATAATTATTTATAAAATATTTTGATATATTTAATATTTTTAATATTATTGTATGTATATCATAATTTAATAATTCATTTAATATCCATATTTCTGTATTATGTAAATATATAGGTACTATTTTATTTTTTATATTTTTTATTAATATTTGTAATAATGAAAATATATTTTCTTCTACTCCTTCTATTATAATATGTTTTTTTATTTTTAAATTTAAAATTTGTAATAATTTTGAATATTGATATTGATTAAAATTATTATTATAATTATATATAAAATTTATATTATATATATTTGTTGAAAATTCTTCTAATTTTTTTCTTATATTACTAGGAAATATAGTTGTAGATATATAAAAATTTAAATAAGAAAAATTTAAATTTAAATATTTAAATATATATTTTATATCTTTATCATTTTCATTTAATAATAATAATAATAAATTAAAAGAATTTATTTTAAAATTAAAATTATTTAATTTTTTTAATATATTAATAATTTTATATGAAAATATTGTATTAATTACATTTTTATTATATTTATATTTATTTAATAAAAATAAAATTAATTTATCAGTTATTAATTTTTTATTTATTTTAAAAAATTTTGCACATAAATTATCTGTTAATAATAAACTTAATAATAAATGAATAGGCATTATAAAATAATTATCATATTTTAATGCTAAATATTCTGCTTTAATAAATATTATTATTAATTCTTTAGTACTATATAAATTATTTAGAATCATGGTGTTTTATTTTTTTTTATAATTTATTATTTTAATATTATTAATTATAATATTTAACAATTGATTTATATTATAAAATAATAATTGAAATTTTTTATATAATAATATTTTATATATTAAATATATTTTATTTAATTTATTATAATATTGTTTATATAAATTAAATATTGTATAATTATATATTATTTTAAAATTTTTATCAGTATAAATATAAATAATAAAAATATTAAATTTATATTTATTAATATATTCTGTTATTTTTTTATTTAATAAATTTATATTAATATTATATATTTTAAATCTAGAATTTAAAATAGAATTTAAATTAATTTTATTATTATCAATATTTTTTACTAAAAATTTACATTTATATAAAATAATCATTATATTATTTATATATTTAATAATATTATTATATACATGTCTTAAAGGATTTGAACCTTTATTATAAATTTTGGAAATTTATATTTTTACTTTAAATTAAAGACATAATTTAAATATATATGAATAAAGAGAATTAAACTCTTATAACAATTTTGGTAAAATTGTATTTTATCTTTAAATTATATTCATTACTTTATTTTAGAATAATAGGATTCGAACCTATATTAATGAAATCAAAATTCATTACCTTAACCTTTTGGTTATATTCTATTATTATATTATATATTAAGTCATTATAGCTCAATGGTAGAGCAATGGATTGAAGATCCATATGTTATCAGTTCAAATCTGATTTTTGACATTTATTTAATAATAATATTATAAATAAAAAATTTATTAAATATTTATATTTATTATATATAATTATTTTATAATATTTATTTTTATTAATAAATATATATATTAAAATAATTATATATATCCATATATATATATTATAATAAAATATATTAAAATATTTAATAAATTTAAATATTTTTTTTATAAAAATTTTATTTAATATATTATTATTATTTTTTTTTTTTAACATATTTTATTAATCTATAATATCTATTATAATACCTGCTCCTATAGTTTTTCCTCCTTCTCTTATAGAAAATTTCTGATTTAAAATTAATACAATATAATGTTTTAATTCTATATGTAAAGTTAATTTATCTCCAGGCATTCCTATTTTTTGAATATTATTATTTAAATATATATTTTTTATCTCTCCAGTTACATCTACTATATGAATAAAAAATTGAGGTTTATAACCTATATTAAAAGGTTTATGACGACCCCCTTCTTCTTTAGTTAATATATATGTTTCAGCTATAAAAGATTTATATACTTTTAATGTATTTGGAGTAGATAAAATCATACCTCTTTTTATTTCATTTTTTTGAATATTTCTTAATAAAATACCTACATTATCTCCTGATTGAGCTTGAATTAATTGTTTTTTAAACATTTCTAATCCAATAACTGTTGTAAAAATAGATGATTTTTCAAATTTTAAAATTTCTACTTCCTCATTTAAATTTATATGTCCTTGATCTATTTTACCAGTTACTACAGTACCTCTTCCAGTAATTGAAAATACATCTTCTATAGACATTAAAAAATTCTCATTTAATTTATCTCTATTTATTTTAATATTATCAATTATATTAATTAAATCATTTAATTTTTGTATCCAAATATTAGATTTTATTAATTCATAATTTTTATTTTTTTGTATTATATTAATTACATTTAATGCAGATCCAGTTAATATATGAATATTATCTAAATTAAAATTATATTTAACTAATAATTCATGTATTTCTAATTTAATAAAATCAATTAATTCAATATCATTACACAAATCTTCTTTATTTAAAAAAATTATTATATTTTTAATACCTATCTGTTTAATTAATAATAAATGTTCATATGTTTGTGGCATTATACCATCTATTATAGATATTACTAAAATTGCTATATCCATTTGTGTAGCTCCTATAATCATATTTTTAATATAATCTGAATGACCAGGACAATCAATATGTGCACAATGTTTTGTTATTGTTTCATATTCTATATGTGTTGTATTAATAGTTATACCTCTTATTTTTTCTTCAGGAGCTGAATCAATATCAGAATAATTATATTTTTTAGATAATCCTTGTAAATTTAATAAATAAGATATTGCTGTTGTTAAAGTTGTTTTACCATGATCAACATGACCTATAGTACCTAAATTTATATGTTGTTTATTTCTTATAAATAATTTATTATTCATAAATATAAAAATTATAATATATAATATTTATTTACTTTACTATAAATAATAATATAATCCTAATGTTAATATTAATTTTTATTATTTTTTTTATCTAATAAATATATATATGCTCTATTAGATATAAATTGTTTTATTAAATTTAATTTAACTTTATATAAATCACCTTCTTTATTATAACTTAAAATTAAATATTTACAAATAATTTTATATAATAATAAATCTTTATCTTTTATTATTTTATTAAATAATTTATATACATTAAATATAGATTGTTCATATGTTATAACTATAGGTACATTATACTTATTAGTATTAATTTTTATTTTATAAAATGAAAAAGGTAATAATAAATTTTTTATAGCTTTATTAAAAATAAATATACTTAATTTATTAGTTATTTTTTTTAATAAATATAATATATATATTAATAATTTTATACTTTTATTAAGTTTACCTTTTTTTAAAAATATTTTTATAAAATATTTAAATATCATTA